AACCTCAAGAACAGCAGGAGAACCCCAAGGATGGCAGGAGAACCCCAATGACGGCATGAGAGCCCCAAGGAGAGCAGGAGAACTCCAAGGACGGCAGAAGAACCCCAAGGACGGCAGGAGAACCCCAGGGATGGCAGGAGAGCCCCAAGGATGGCAGGAGAACTCCAAGGACGGCAGAAGAACCCCAAAGACAGCAGAAGAACCCCAGGGATGGCAGGAGAACCCCAAGGATGGCAGGAGAACGCCAAGAACAGCAGGAGAACCCCAAGGATGGCAGGAGAACCCCAAGGATGGCAGGAGAACCCCAAGGACAGCAGAAGAACCTCAGGGATGGCAGGAGAACCCCAAGGATGGCAGGAGAACTTCAAGGATGGCAGGAGAACCCCAAGGATGGCAGAAGAATCCTAAGGACAGCAGGAGGGAGACATGAGGCTGCCCCAGACCCAGCTGGATCCACCTTCCTTCACTCCCAAGGGACAGCCAGCTCTGGCCATAGCTCTGAGGTGACACAGAGGAGGTCACCAGGTTCCCACAGCACAGACAAGGAAAGGGAAACCTCTGATAATGCCCTAAAATGTGGCCTCAAAATCCTGTCAGCTGAGCAGATTGGGAGATGTCCAGCTGAGCTGAAGGCCTGGAGCCAGGGGAGGGAGGAAGGGCAGGAAGAGGAGGGAGGGAAGGACGGAGGAAGGAATGGGGCTGGGCTGGTGAGAGCCACAAGATTTGGAAAGCATCACTTTGATTTAATGGGCCTTGATGTTTGAAAATGAAGTTGAGAGCTCTTTTCTTTGCCACAGGGCTGAGCAGCCAGCAGGATTTAGAAGGGCAAGAGCTTTCCAGATGAGCCGTGCAATTTTGTCATAAGAACCAAAATAATGATAAAAATAATGAGCAGGGGAGGGAGGGAGCACTGGGCTCATCCAAATGTTAACCTGAGGGTCCTCTCAGCAGCACCCTAATAAAGGGATTAACCTGCTCTATCAATTAGTGGTGTTACATCTCTCCAGTGGGAATAAACTCATCCTTACAGACTAATTCTATAAACACACTGCACTCAGGGACTTCAGTGAGCCCAGTGCTTTTAATGAAAGGAATGAGATTTAAACACAAATGAGATTTGAACACACACCTCTCTGCAAAGGGATTAGAGAGAGTGGCCCCTGCTGTTGGCATCTGTAGGGCTGGCCATAATAACCCAAAAGGGTGAGAGGCAATGGGGGCACCCCAGAGTGGGGAGTGCATCCCAGAGGAGCTGTGGAGGGATGGAACCCCCAGGAGAACCCACAGCCAGTGCAGCCAAGGGGGTGCCCAGAGTGACAGAGGTGTCCCCAGCAGCCCGGGATGTGGCCCTGGGGGTGGAGCTGCAGCATCACCGGAGTGCCCTGTGGGGTTTTGGGGTGGGGTTTAGCAGAGGGGATAGGTCTGAGGTGGGGAGAGCAGCAGGAGAGAAGCACAAGGAGCTCAGCCCAGGCTGTGAGCTCGAGGCCACCAGCTCTGTCCCTCCGGAGCAAGCACAGGACACCTGCAGGGCCTGAGCATCTAGTGAGGACTGAGAAAACTGGGAGCAGATGGAACCAGGCAGTAACTTGGGTGAGACAGGCAGGGAGCTGGGATGTGCTGCTGTGAGAGCTGCAGCAGGGCTGGGTTGGCAGTCAAACTGGCCCCAGAGCAGGAGCAGGACACAAGGGTGAGATGTGACAGGAAAGGGGAATGTGACACAGGAGAACGCACCTGATTTATGGCACTGGCAGCCACGAGCTGTCACTCCTCAGGAAATGCCATGTCCTGTGTGTTGCTCCAGGGGACACTTCCCTGCAGGCAGAGCACACAGGGATCTATCTGATGGCATTGTATGGAGAAGTTGTGCTTTCCCTCAAATGTTTCAAGTACCAAACTGTAGATGACAGATTTTAGTGAGGACATTGCCCTCAGTGCATGCTGAGAGGCTCCCTGGCATGCTCCTGTCCCACCTGCTTACATGTGAGACCAAAGGCTCTCCAGAGAGCTCTCAGCTCCTCAGAACCCCCTACTAACCCACTACTAACCCACTACTAACCCACTACTAACCCACACACACATGAACAACTCACCAGTGAAGCAACTGAACAGCAATTTTCCTCCCCAGTGGCTGATGGAGCCCCCCATTCCCTTCTCTTTAACAATGCACTGAAGTTCAATGTCTGTGCCTTAGAATAGTCCCAGAAGAGCAGGAGAGGCCCACAGGAGAGCCATTTATCCACCTGGGAAGGGGAAGATCCAGCTGGATCCAGTCTGACAGGGCAGTACTGGGCAGAGCCATGGATTCCCATCATTCCTGGAGGGAACAGTGCCCCAGCTGCTGCACCCCAGGGTAGATGTCTGCTCAGGTTTATTTATCTCAGGTTTACTTATCCTGCTTTATCCGCCTCACCTCAGCCTCTCTGGCCCAGCTTTTCCAAGTGCTCTGTGAGTGTTCACCCTGTTCCAGAGGTACAAACACAGATCCTTGCTGTCAGTGGCCTCTGAGCCTTGAGCAGCCACCAAGGAGGAATCTCCTTCCTACTCCCCTGACCCAAATGTGCAGCACAAACACAAAACCCTTCCCTGTCCCTCCCAGGGCTGTGCTTCCCTTGGATTCCATGTCCTGGCTTCTCCAGCAGCACAATAGCCACTCTGTGCTGAAAGCATTCCAAGGGAAAAGCAGTGATGATGAAACCCTTCAGCCCAGTCTGTATTTTCACAGACTCCCAGAATGGTTTGGGTTGGAAAGGGCTGTAAAGCTCATCCAGTGCCACCCCTGCCTTGTCTTCCAGTGTCCCAGGCTGCTCCAAGCCCTGTCCAGGCCTGGCCTTGGACACTGCCAGGGAATCCAGGGGCAGCCACAGCTTTTCACTCTGCTTTAAATGAATCATTCTCACACACACATACAGCAGTGACAACCCTTCCCCAGAGGAAAAACCAAGGATTTTCCCTAAACTGAAAACACCTGGATCCCAGATTTCTGCTTGCCCCCTTTGACAGCTCCACAAGAAAACACTGGCACAGCTGAACTTGAGTTGCTGGGGGCAAATGAACTGAGCTGAGTTTGCCAGCAGAACTGGAGTGGCTTTGCCAGGAAAAGGCACCGAGTGGCACTGAGGGGCACCCACAGAACTGCTGGCACAGCTGCTCCCTCCTGCTCTGCCCAAAGGTGCTCTGGACAGGCAAGTTCTGCCCTCAGAACCTCTGAGCAAGGCAGAAAATGTTCCCTGTAAACATTCCAGCTGGTCACTAAGGCAGAAATAAGGAATTCAGGGAAACCCAAAGCAGAAAGGTGCTCAGTCCTCAGACATCCTGTGAAACTGAAGGAATATGAACCTCCCCATCATGGATTAAAAGATGAAGAAAGAAGAGGTTGGAGGAGCTGAGGTTGTCATCCCTCAGAGTAACCAGAAGTCCAACACACACTGCCTGCTGCAGCTCCCCTGTGCTTGGGTACAGCTGAGTGAACAGCAAAGCTTAAAAATGAAATGTTAGAGGGACAGCTTAGTGCCTTATAGCTGACCAATCCCTGAACAAGTACTAAAAAAATTACTTTAGAATTAAAATATATAAGAAAGCTTTTACAAAAAACATATATTAAATATATATATTATTATATATAACATATATAAAAATATATAATATATAAATATATATTTAAATATTTTATATATATTTTAAATATATATTAAAATATATAAGAAAGCTTTTACAAAAAATATATATTAAATATATATATTATTATATATAACATATAAAAATATATATAATATAAATATATTATATTTAAATATTTTATATATATTTAAAATATATATTAAAATATATAAGAAAGCTTTTACAAAATATATATATTAAAATATATATTATTATATATAAATATATATAAATATATAAAAATATAATATATAATAATAAATATACAAATATATATAGATATATAATGATATATTTTAATATATATTAAAATATATATTAAAATATATATTAAAATATATGAGAGCTTTTACAAAAAGTAACTATACAAAAAACATAAGAGTTAAATCAAATAACATATTAACACTTGTTAACTTTACTTACTTACTTTTGCAATACAGATATACCTACAAATCAACCAAAAATGAACGTTGAAGTTACTTTAACCAAGTAACAAACTCAGACACATATGTTTAACCAATTCAAAGCCAGACCAACTCTTTAGGAGCTGTTTAGTGAGTGCACCAGAGCCAACCAAGGAGTGGCCAATACCCAATGGTAACAATTATTAGCATAAAGCTGCCAGTGAGATAAATCCCATCAGCAATGCCAGGGACATCACTGGCTGCCAGGGCTGCCTCTGCCCCTCCCAGCACTGCACAGCATGAATGGGGCTGGGTTTCCCCCTCCCAGCTCCACCTGAATGCTCCTGCTCAGACATTTCACTGCGTTTCAGCTGCTCCCTGGAATTCCCAGAATAAAACAGAGCTGGTATAACAACATCTATTAGCTCAGTGCACAGTAGAGGTGATTTCCAGGATGAAAAACAAAGCCAAGGGTCCCAGCTCTGTCCCTAAAGCTCTTGCTTTGAACTTAATTCAGCTGATTTCTCCTTGGAGTGGGGATTTTCACACAGAACAGAATCCCAAGGTCACTGAGGTTGGAAAAGATCTCCAAAATCACTGAGCCCAACCTGTGACTAATGCCCACCTTGTCACCAGCCCAGAGCACTGAGTGCCACATCCAGCTGTTCCCTGAGCATCTCCAGGGATGGGGACTCCACCACTTTCCTGGACAGCCTCTTCCAAAGCCTGACAAACCCTTCCATGAAGAAATTCCTCCTGATGTCCAACCTGAACCTCCCTTGGCACAGCTCGAGGTTCTCTCCTCTTGTCCTGTCCCTGTGCCCCATAGCTCAGAAGGCTTTAGAGTGGATGTCCCACATGTAGAAAAAGGCCAAACTCCACCTAAAGCACAGCCAGATCACTTAAACAGGACACAGAATTGACCACAGCAGCCACAGGTGAAAATTAATCGAGATATTTAATACAGTGCAATCCATAGTAGTTTCTTAATTAAAATAATTGTGTGCATGTATCTGAATGGGTTATCAATTATCACAAAAAAGCAATAAACATTGTAGTGCCATGTAGAAAAATGTACAACAGAACTTGAAACCTTCCCTACTTCCAAGAGAGTGTGGATCAACTGCAGATCATTCTCAGCAATTAAAATGGGCACAGTGACTACGTCGTTGCAGTGACAGACACAGGGCTGGCACACAGCAGTCAAGGGATATAAATAGACCTGGCAAAGAACTAAAAACCTAAAGCATTCTTGCACCTAAAACACAATAAAGAAGCCAATGGGGGCTTACGACTTTTCCTGGTTTTTAAATGCCTTACAAGACTCCTAGACACACTTAAACTGACTTAAAATTACAGAGTGTTTTGCAGCTTATTTCAATTCAATGTATGGCCCAAATTGAAGATGAAGATCCAGCAGTGGCAGGAGCACAGTCCCAAAGCTGAATGTTTGATTTTGCAAATACCTTTTCTACAGAAATTCAACCGTATCGACAGCAGGCAATTCCCCTGCTCCCCCTTCTCTCCTCTGGGCAGACTTTTTTCCATGCTATGCAGAAAACAGCAATGCAGTTCCCACTGCTCTGGGTTAAAATTAAAGATAAAGACATTTTGCTTATGCTTTCTCCTCAACAAAACACATTTGCACCCAGAATAGGTAACCAAAGTCTTTTTTCCAGCCAGGGGCTACTGTGGTTACATGGTTCCTGCCCAAGCTTCCAGCTCTTTCATGTCATCATCCTCTTCTTCCTCTTTCTTCTTGGCTGCAAAATCACAAAAGAGAACAAGTGAGTGGGAATCCTGACAGAACCCTCTGTGCAACTGAGGAATCAGTAAATGAAGCACCTAAGGCAAGCTGTGCACAAAAAATACATAAAATCTTTTTGAGCTGAAGAAAAAAGTGCTTTGCTGAAAGAGCCAGAAACTTCCTGAGTGGAAGAAAACAACAGCTCCCATGGGAAGATGCAGTGGGCATCAAAGTTCAAGTGTGATATTTTTCCATAATTTCCAAGCCTCTTTCAGAGAAATGCAACTTCTTATAGAAATTATTCTGATGTCTCCAGTATGAATCTCTTCCCCATCCACATGAAATTCCTTATTTCATCACTGAGCACTGTGAATGCAGGGAATGAGGTGTTTGGGTCAGGTACAGAATGTGGAGGGGCTGGAGAGCCCTGGGAACATCCCACTCCCCTCTCCTGTGCTCCCTGGATGTGGA